AGCAGCCCAAAGGGAGAATATTTATGGGGGGCAACACAGTACACCAAACGCGTGAAGTGTAAGTTTCTTTATACTGTAGCTGCTCCTTGCGGGCAGAGTTGTAAAATAAGATTTAAAGGGCTTTCCATTAATTGTTTCAGTTTTTTCCTTTTATTTAGCTACACCACCAAAGCTGTTAGTTAAAGAAAATTCAGTTTACGAAATGTATATCATGCTGTATGACTATTCCGCAGCACACCCTTACCTTTACAATGTCCTTCAGAGAGACTCTCCTGTCAGAGGCTCTGAGGAACCGTGAACTGTGTCCAGCTCACATCTAAAGGCCATGAGGTATATCCCAATGCACAACAGCTACAGAGATTTGCTGAGCTCATACACATGTATGGAAGCAGAGAAGAGTTTGAGATTTTCTGAGTGAACCCGTGAGTTGGAGACACGTGACCTAAAGTACTACAATGAAGATGTGATGCCCTGACTGAACTCCCTATAAAAATCCACCGTGACACAAGTGAGATATTTTGCATGAGAAAGCAGTGCCCTGCTCTAAAACTTAAATCCAAAGTCTTATCTTGAACCATCACTGAAAGTGAACTAAAAACACCTTTGAAAAGCTTTACTAAATGTTTAATCCAAAACAGTTCCATCTTTTGCTCCTTTTCTTATCAATTTTTTATCAATAATTAACAAATATACAAGATGTAGATAGTAATCCTATGTACAAAATACATATTAGGAACAACATACCTGGTACAATATCTGCATCCTACAACTTGTATGATAATCCCTAAAAACAAACTATGAATCCAATGGCCAAGAAAACTGTGGTACATAAGTATGACATCACTGTGTGTACTTGTATCATTTAAAATAAATAATCGACATGCCACACCCCAACTTAAAACACTCAGAGGTTGTCAGTGGTAATTAATAACCCTGACATTTATAGACTCTTGGTAGAGTTTCCTTGGAGCTGGAATTGTCTGGTAGCCTGCCGGGATTAAACTACCCAGACGCCCAGGCCTGCAGAATTCCAAAGCACCCTGACCGGTTACTGTGATTCCACTCAGCGGGTCGCCATCTCAGAATCGGCTCTCAATGGGTAGCTGGCACAAGTGACATAAATGGCCTTATCAGAACATCTTAGAGAGGCTTCTCCACACTCGGGGGCACAGAGAATTGCATGTCTCATACTGAGTATTGGATATTTTGTGTACTGCTAGAATTACTTAGTTCAGAAAAAAAGAGACATTCTGCTCAGGAAGGGGCTATTTTTACCAATTCAAATTAGGATGGTATGCTTACTTAAAGGGGTAATTTTTACCAGGGAATTTACATTAAATGCTTTTATCATCACATTTTTGAGAGGGGAAAAGCCTTGGTTTTTTGTTTTACAAAAGCTGAAAACTTCATCTGCTTTAAGAATGTCACTTCTTTTTTGTTGTTGTTCTTTTTTGTTTTTATTTTCCTATCTGAAGCTATGACCTCTTAGTACCTCATGAATTCAGACACCTTTTTCTTCAGAAGAGCTAAAAATGGGAATTCAGACCCCTACAATCCCTACTGTGCCATAGGATCTTTAAAGACCAAATAGTCATAACTGTGATTTAATGACTCATCCAAATGATGCTTCCTACAGCCCTGTGCCGCCCTGTCATCATACCATGTCATCATTTTACATTCAGATCCAGAGCGCAGAGCGCAGAGCGCCACTTACTGGTCCACCAACACCATTTACAGTAGAACCTAGTTTAGAGGTCTCCCTTTCCAGTACTAACCAGGCCCAGCATTGCGGCAAGGCAATAATCCTGCTGTCACCTGCCATCATGACTGCCTCAACAAAGAATCTCCATGTTCACAACAACAGCAGAAATGTTCAATCTCACAGAAGCTTTTTAAAAAGTCTTCTAAATTTTTTTTAATGGAAAATTAAGTTGATAGACTGGCATCCCATCCAGGGTGTATCCTGCTGCACCGGTCACTTGCCAGGATAGTTGGAATAACTGGAAGAACCAGATAGAAAATGGGTGGATGGAAATCATTTTGATTTCAAGTGTTAGTGGGAGAAAAGACTTGCTATGGTATGGAATTCAAGTGTCAAAGTTGATCACCCCAGGTCTAAAGTATGAACTATAGCTTCATAAATATGCAAATGCTCAGGGCATCACTAACTAACACTTTGCGGGGAACCACACTGAGAAATAGTGGCAGAATAGGGGTCTGGACCTAAAACCTCCTGACAACAAGCACTGCGCCTTAACCAGCCGAGCAGCCCTCAGGCCAGGAATAGGCTAATCTTTTACATAGCAGTTGTAATGAGCAAACCATAAGGTTGTGACATTGTATTGTATTAGACTCAAGGGCATGTCATAGCTCCATCCTAATTAAGAGTTAAGAAGAGAAGCCTCCTGGTAAAACGTCTTGGTATTTGTTCCCACAAGTACCAGTGGAGGTGTGTATGAATGGAATTTGCTCTCTTTTGTGAATAAATCACCCCAGCTGACATTTTCAAAAAGCCTAAACCTGTGACAGGGTTAACTGTTTTGTATATGGAATCAAGCCTACGGTGTATCTGTTTTGAAGAATGACCGTGGTCGGAAGAACAAGAGGTGTTTTCATCAGAAAAGATTGATCTTGTTTTTCACAAGACTCCAGACTTATCTATTACTTTTCCCTTCTGATCAGGTTAGTTCCATTGCCCTGCACCTAGCCCAGAACATCTGAGCGCCACCAAACACCTGAAGCTGATCTGATAAGATTTCCACTTGCTGGTCATGGATTCATAAGAGTTTCTGCAGATAAAACTGGATGAGGCTTGTAATCTATTCAGGATCAAGGATCAAAGTGCTCTCTCTCTTGCAATGTCAATGCCTAGTGGAGCTGTACATTATCTGGGCAATGGCTCAGATAATCACAAATAAAAGGTGAAAGAATGGAGATTTTTCTGGCTGTATTTTCAGGCATTTAAAGGAACATAAGAATTAAAGAGACCATTATAAAAACATCATTACATAAGGTTTAATATTTGCACCCAATATTTAATACCCAATAGAAATGATCCCAAATCAGCTTCAGAATTCCTTTTATTCGAGCACTGAAAGTATTTGTCTACACCTTCACACAGGGATGTAAAACATAAATCTTTGAGTTTATGAATAGAAACAATTAACCCCAAAATCTAAGCACACGTCTCCTGGGATGAAAGTGCAACCTTTGGAAAAGGGAAGAAGGCCTCTGCTTTCTATATCTGCTTCTCTGCAAATGTATTAAAGGCCAAAAATATGTGCAGAACTTGTCTGTGGTGTGTGAAGGAAGAACATGAAAGGTGGAGTAATATCGCAGGGCAGCGTCAAAGCAGAGAGAGACAGAGAGCGTCAGAGCAGCGTAGCCACTGTGAGTTTCAGAATGTGCGCCGCTCTCCTGACTCTAGCAGGACAGAATGCTTTTCAGGGAAGGCAAACAGAATCAGTACGACAGCACACTGTTCTGAACTGAGATGACAAAATGTTTTCAAAAAAGGTTGTGAGGACAGTACAGTGGAACACACTCTGAAACAATATAGCAGCATGCAGGTTCCACAATACAGGGTGCTACAGTATGAAAAGTGTCCCAATCGCTGGATGTCCTCAACATCAGAAATATTCATATGAATCAGACAGTTTGATTGCCTCATTTTGCCTCCTCAGAAAATAAGGGCCTAAGTTCTAACAACTCTTCAACCTTAAATTCTAGAACTGGGGAAGAACTTGACAGAGTCAGACAGAGGAAATCTCTGGCAAACAGAAACCTGGCATTACATTACACACTTGGAATGTGCGACTGGGAGGTGGGACAAAGTTTTAATTTAATCTAGGCTTGAGGCCAAAGGTTTGGTCTATTTACACCTTCATCAGGGCATAGATTTATGACCAAGACCAACAAGCATATACAAAAGAGAGCTGTAAACAGCTGCATTCAATTACTGCAAAACAAAACAAAAATCAACACAACATCCTTTGTATGTATGATTAAAAGAGCACAGCCCAATCCACATACACTCGCACAATATCAAAAGAGTGCAGCTCAATGTACAGGACACTTGCACAGCAGTGTGGATACTGGATTTGAAGGACTTGCAATAGTAAAATGTAATACTCCACTATTGCAAAGATCATTTGAAAAAAGTGATGTTAAGTATGGGTGGCATGGTGGTGCAAAGGTGCTAAGGCCTTGAGTTCAATTCCTGGGGTGCTATCAGCATGGAGTTTGTATGATCTGTCCATCTTTGTGTGGGTTTTATCCAGGTGCTCTGGTCTCCTCCCAAAGTACAACGATCTACTGGTAGGTTTTTAATTTTTTTTTAAGTTTTAAAATTGGCCCTGGTGTGACTTTGTGTGTGTCAGTGTATGCCCTGCAATGGTGTCAAGTCCAGGGTGTCCTGCCTTAACTTGTCCCTATTGCTTGCTGGGATATTCTGGCTCCCCTTTGAGTCTGTTTTGAAGAAAGTGGTTACAAAATGGATGGATGATACTAGATATGCTACAGTTTTAAGAAACTGCTGACAATTTTGTTTGTATTACAAACCACCAAATAATGTTAAGAGTTTCTGGATCCATTTTTTTCTGCCATTCTGATCAATCCAATGTGGCTTCCCTGAGCAGTCTGCTCCACCCTCCTCTCCCTCAGCACCAGTTAACATGGAAACCAACTGACAGGAGACCCAGGTCACCTGGAGGCAGTCACCATCTTGCCTGCCCAGGTGATTCAGGGATATTTAAGTGCTGCACAGATTCTGTGATAGAGCTTGGATTCTGAGCCTCTGTATTCTTAATCTTGTGTCCTAACTTTGTCTCCTGTGCTTTGTCTTGGATTCCCGACTTCGCTTTGCTCTCTCAACCACAATTCCTGGAGCTCCCCCTGACTTAGTTTATGTCTTCCCACGTACAACCCTAATTGCCTGACTCCTGAGCCTTTCTCCAGTGCTGAGACATCACACCTGGCTGACAATCTTATTTTTTTCCTAGGTGTGCTTGTCTCCACCTCTGCAACTGCTGTGTGGCTGCCTGGCTGGGCAGCTTGGAAACCCTTTCTGCTACACCTCCACCCCACCTATGGCTATGAACATCTGACACTGTGTATCACCGCACAACAACCACTGTCAGCGCCCTGCCTGCAGTTCCCCTGGGCTTCATCTGCCTTACGCCCAGCAAGAGCTCCTGATCCACTGCTAGTCCCACAGGCAGTGGGATCATTACAATATCAGTATACCCAGTTAACTGTGCCAACACCTAAAACCTCAGACATATTTCCCTTGTTTAACCCAGACCCTTTTTTCATGTTTTTGTAGTTTATTAATTTTGCATACTGTATATATATATAAGAGCATCTGCCAAACTGGGATTTATAATCCAATTGTCTATGCTTGATGGCAGCTTGTTATTTCTACCACCAGGACATAAACCATTAGGCCATGTTATTTGTGACCGGCCATGAGGTCACATTTCTTATTTCTTCCTAAACCTGATGAGAAATCAAATAAATGACAAGACAGGTAAATAAACAGTAAAATCCTTCTGTGAAAACTGCAATTTAAGGTAGCTTTTAAACAGAGGTTATAGCTAGTTACATAAAAGTTAGGCAACTTTTTTTATCAAAAGTGTTTTTCCCTATTTACCCATCTGATTTGAAAGATGTGGCCAGGATTTGAAAAACATGTATCTGCACTTCCTTGGATTTAGTCTGAACAGGTGGGTGTGTAAGGGGGGAGATGGGGGAAGTGCACAGATGATTCCAGGGAGGAATATATCCAGTGAGGGACTTGATGCCCTGCAATAACACAAAAGTAACCAGCAATCCCCTCTGTGAGAGACATGAACTTCAGCATTATGTCCTCAAAGAAAATTGTTGAATGTCTCCCATTAAGCCGGATTACCTGTGACCTCAAACACCTGTGACCTCAGCATCCATTATGAGACATGCTTGTTTTATAAGCTTAGATCTTACAGACTCCCAGAGGAGATTCTGAGTCATTTGCACCTCACCCAGTATTGTTACAGTCAAGTAATACACACCTCTCAGTACATTACCTACTTTAAACACTCCAGTGAGACAGGGTCATGTTCTGTAATTAAACTGATTAGTGTGCAAGAATCAAAACTGCAGTTTGTGCACCACAAGAAATACATTTCACGCCAGCTGCACACATCTGGGCCTGGGTCAAGAAGGATTTCCTTCTTGGGGCTCTCCAGTAACATTTCAATCTCAGGAAATCACCACAGACCTCATCCAAAGCATGAACTAGGAAACCCACACTCTTAGTGGAATTTATGGTTTACCGCAGAACATGCCAACCAAATTAGAAGGCATCCTTCTGAGTACTTTTACCAGCCTCTCAAGGAAATAGGTTTTGAATTCGAGGCATTTTTATGGTTTGAACCATCCAACCGCAGCTAATTTAAAATGTTTCCTATTTCTCAGAATGCAAGGCTCTTTCATACACCAGGCTTAAGCTTGGACAAAGAGGTCCGATTCATTGCTCATTCGTCCCAGAAATCTCAGTACAAGCCTAAGGAAAAATCACAACTGAAACGTTTGCATCTTATCTACATGGATAAGCTTGTCTGCCCCACAAAAAGTCTGAGAAAAAAAATCAAGTTTAGAGGTATTATAGCAAAATGGCCTTTCACCTTTCTTGACTGTGGGAATACAGGTCAATCCATTATTGTTGACCTCAGAGCACATGTTGGGAGTCCAAAGATCTCACAGCAATTAGCAAACAGGTGAGCCCTGTGAGTAGAATGCTCTTCTCTTGCGGCATAATCCTTCCCGTGTTTGTACTATAAAACAGTACAAAGAACTGCAGAGCTGCATGATTAGGTCTTTCAGGAATTTTGCCGTAAGTCTGAAAATGGTTACTCTTGATGTACGAAGCGGTTCGCTTTCCAAGGGTCATGAACCTATGTCTCCATCCATCAAACATGTCCACACAAGCCCCCTGTGGCCGGCATGAACATGATAGTTCAGGGCTCTCCTGCTCTTCCTGAACTGCCCACACCCTCCCCCTGCCCCTGCAGTACGTGGAAAAGGGCAACACCTAAATGGAGATCAGGGATCGAAGAGCTCCTGGGGTACCTGTGTCTTGTGCTCATTACTTCCACTTACAGTCTCACCAGTGGAGAAACGCACAGAGGTCAAATATTTTCTTTAAAAAAAAAACATAGACAAAATCTTCTAATGCACCATAAAGAATGAATAATACAGTCTCTGAAAAATATGAATAATACTATCTAATATTATATATTTGACTTTTTTTACCTGCTCAGAAAAATTTAGTTTTCGTTAATTGCATTTACATTTAAAAAATATTTTTTATACTTTAATAACATGCACGTCAGTTTGGAAGCAAGCACATCAAACTTGGCCGAAAACATTAAAAATACAAACTAGCCATGCTAAATATCTAAATCAAAATGATTTATCAGCAGCAATTGAAATACTTTCTGCAAAGGACAGAAAAGAATTGTACCGAAAAGAGAACAACACTCATGCAAGAGTTTAGAAGAAAAGATTAGAAGAACAGAGGTTCTGAAAATTGAAACCATCTGTTCGAAAAGGGCTTTTGCCAGATCTATGATTCCGTCATTAGCTTCAATGAAACTTAGAAAAAACTTAGACAAAAATCAGATTTCATAAGTTACAGATCTCTGTTCAAAAGTAATTTGTTAAAGAATATAACATGTGGATAGATGTATTGTTCATGATCATGACTTACATTTCCTTAGGAGAAATTAGAAAGCTATTTGCTGCCAAACTTCATCCACAATGTCATTAAAACCTACTCTGTCTTATCATAAAAGCAAATAAGCTTAGCCATTTTTCTGCATCTCCAAACACAAATTGATCAGACTTAGTAATTGGAAAGTGGTCTTTACATTTTGGAACCTGTACTAAGAAGACCAGTATGATTAACAATAAGAATAGCTCTCTCAAGCTCCATTTCATCTCCTCATTTAAGTAATCCTACATCAGTACCCAGCAAAACTGGGAATAATGGATTCCATTCAATGAGGACACTTCAAAAAACATCCAAATTCAAACTGATAAATCCATCTTTAATTACTGCTGCATCTGTATTCTGCCAAAAGGACTTGAGTTCTTGACTCATCAGTGTGTATCATCTTCAGTCAAACTCTTCACTCTCCATAGCCAAATAACAATTCCTTCCATTTATACTGTATAGTCCTTTAATCCCAAAGAATGCTAAAACATTTTGCACGTTGGTGTGGACCCTGTTCATCCACCACTGATGAAGATGGCCACTTGGGCAACATGTGGCATTATTCAGCACCTGCAGGACCATTACACAGAACGTCAGGCAGAGAAATTAGAGAAAGTGAAAAATTACTTTATAATTCATTATTTGAATTAAACGGGGAAACGTCTTCTGTGAACAAACAATTTACTGTTATTTCCGACACACTTTGTACTTTCTATGTGTATAGAACATAACCAGAGAAATTATGATAACCATCCAAATGTTACTTGGGTCCACTGTGAGGAAATTGGCAGCAAGCCTGTGTCCGTTACAGATACGCTTTTCTCTTTTTAATGCAGTGATTTGTGAACTGCTGATCGCCTGTGCCATCGTCCTGCTCAGTGAGCTGGGGAAAGACTGACCATCACTATGCTATCCACTCTCCCCTCAGTCAAGAGAGCTGCGGTCCAGGTGCTCCTTAGTCAGTAACTGACCTCCTGAAGATGACGCCCAGCAATCAGTCTACTTCACACCCCAGTGTTCCAGGGATCATCCTGGTACGATGAGATAAAGAGGTAAAGACAGCAGCCAAATTTTGATCACTGCATATCTTTCAGTGTCTCAAACTTCAAATGCAAAATGTTGTTGCCAATGGAATGTCTGTTGCTGTTTTGGCCTTGTGTGGGAGCCCAAGAGTGCACACTGGGAGAGATTTATAGCTCCTGTTATGGGTCCTGTTACCACCAGCCCTTTAATGTTCCATGCAGTCTTGCCATGCTTTACACCTGAACAGTAGCAATACAAGGTACCGCCTAAGTGAGAGAAAATGGTGTCTCTAGTCTCACAGGCTTCTTGCCTGAGATTTCACTGCTTCTTATATCAAAGGACTGACTCCTGCTATTTACCGCTTCAGATTCAGAAAACTGACCTTCGTAGATGTGATGCTGCAATGAAGGACCCCTCCCAACCCACAGGAAACATGCTGTTCAATACGTATCCGAAAGACCATGCAGACAAATCAGAATATCTTAACAACGCTCTTTGTCCAATGCTGTCAAGGCAGCCAATACTGTGCACATTATTCCACAGAGAAACCCTGTGCCTCATACCATGAAAGTTTATTTGATGGTAGACCAACCCCCTGGACAGTGTTTGCTCCTGGACCCTCCATTTCTCTCTAATTTACCAAGTTCAAAAAAGTGGCAAAACTCAGTAAAAACAGAATGACTCATAACCACTGTTCTGGACACTCGGGTCATGTAAATCTAGGTAGACCATTCACTTCTGACTCTGGGACAATACAGCAGCACTCACTTAAATGGCGAAAACATCTGAAAGTCAGAAATCTTGAACACAGGGTAAGCCAAAGAGAGAAAGGAGTTACATGGGCATTTATGTTGCCAAGAGAAGCAGTTAAAAATTCCAGAAGCAGAAATAAACTGTCATATGTTAACACTAAAGCAAGGGAGCCCAGCCCTGGTCCTTGAAGAGCAGTTTCTTTAAAGCATCAGCACCCGAATTGGAGAAGCCGTTAAACTGGTCTAATTAATACAATAATCAGCTGATTCACGTTATAAAAACAGTCGGACTGAACACCTGCAGACACACCAGCCCTTCAGGACCAGAACTAGACTGGTCCCCTATCTACTCAATAAATCACCATCTACTGTTTTGAAAAGATTACGGACTTGAAACAGCAGGCTTGAACAATCAGATTGCACTCGGCATTGTTGCAGAGTCCAGTTATGCATCGACTCTTCCTTTGCTATAAAAAAACCAACAAATCAGTGCAAACGTCACTGTTCAGGAATTTAGACAGGGAGAACTGAAAGATGGAGGCTTTTATCAACCAGCACAGATCATCAGGCGGGCACTGCACCTCCCTCTGAGTGATCAGCCAGCGAGACATGCCCACAGAAACCACTCACGGAAACTAACCCCAACCACCCAAGCCGCACGTGGCGTGGCAGGGAGACAACGGTGGGCGCGGCCAGGTGGAGTAGAAATCACTCGGGGGCAACACCTGGAGACCAGGATGTAGAGAGAGACAGAGAGAGAGAGAGAGAGAGAGAGCGATCCCAAGGAGAAAATAAAAAAAAAACATTGGTTCAAGGGTTCTTCTCTGCTGCTCGTGTCTTTCTTGCACGTTTTTTCACCACAGGCAGGAAGAGTTCCAAC